CACACACACACACACACACACACACACACACACACGCACACACATACATACAGTAAAACCTATTTTTACGTCAGAATTTCATTATCCTTTTTAAAACATTGACTCTTTTGAGATAACCACACTACACGCACCGAAACTGCATAAACGTACATTTTACCATTGGCGGTAGGGATGAAGGTTCCGTTGTTGTGGTCTCCTGAGCGAAGGTACAACCATTCGTTCCTCTCAGTTTTATTGTTATGCAGGTCTAGATGAAGCATTTTGATTTCATACATCTGGAAGAGCAAGAGAGGGCATGTGAACTCGTAATGTATTCATGCCTAAATATTTTATGTTTATGTGTGTGTGTAAGGGGAGGGGGGGGGGCTGTAACATCAACATTCACTTTTGTGAGATAGCGTGGTGATATCAGGCGCTCGTCTAAACAATCAAATCAAAGAAACCGTCATTTTTTGGGCGTTGGGCATGTTCTTTTTTGGGCTCATCAATTTTTATGTCCATTTTAAAACACTCTTCTGTGTGGATATTACAGAAAAATGTCAAAGTATATTTCCAGTTTCGAGGGACTCTCAAGCTTTGAAAATCCAGGAATTATGTAAATTATGTGTTTCAAAGGTGTGAGAAGCAATTTTTCATCACTGACCTTCTCATTCCTTACCATCCACGAAGAATTCTTAGATCATCGAGTGTAAACCTGCTTTCAACACCACGAAACACATCTTCAAAAATACGCTAACGGGCTTTCATATTCTCTGGGCCATCTGTGTGGAACGCATTGCCTAATGAGCTAAGATCTATCACTAATTTCACCTTCACCTTCACCTATCCCGCAGTTTGGCTGACCGTTGGGGCACCACTGTATATTTTACAGGCGGCTTCTTCACTCTTCGAGAGGTTCTCAGCTATTCTTACTGTGATGGTCCAGTCACAGCCAGTCCACCCTTTGATATTGTCTTCGTCTTTCTCCTATTGTCTTGTGATTCCCTGTACGATATTCTTAGCCAGTCAAGATGATCGAGGGACGCACTTGTATCACTGTAGTTTGTGCCTTTTCACAGAAACCAGGACGTATTAAAATCTCGCAAAGTGTGTTTCTAATTCTGGTTCTTTTTATCTCATTGTCCCAGACTTGAAAGATTGACGTTTTAATTTAGGCACCCATTCTCGTCAGGAATGGCTTGGTTGTTAAAAATGTTTTACGCTCTATTGGCACAGTTTGAATCTTTTAGGAGATGGGCTGCCCTACCCGGACTGAGTGGGAACAGCATGGCAGTACCAACGGAGATGCAGGGTTCATAAAACAACGCCCCCCCCCCCTCACACTCACACAAAGAAACAAAACAAAGAAAAAATCCCAAAACAAAACACCCTACTCCTCCAAAATCAAGCCAAAACAACACACACAAAAACGACCGCCCCCCAAACCAAGCAACATAACTAAACAAAATTATTTAAAAAAAACAATTAAAAAATGAAGAACACCCGCCCCCCCCCCCCAAACACGCTGACATTCAATGAAAAAAGTTCATTGTCGAGAAAAAAAAATACAATGAATTTATAGCCGAACTTTGAGTTTATGAACATTCTCAAATTGTGAACTCACATCTTAAGTAAATTTTAAATTATACTTGAAGAAAATTAATAGATTTACAGGATTTCCCTTTAGTTTACGCACTCTTTATCGTCATTATGCGATTTGGGAGGATACAATAGTAATGTTTCTGGTGACGTTGGGACTCGTAATCGGGAGGTTGCGGGTTCGGGGTTTGAGCCTCAGCTCGGTCCGACGTTTTGTCGTAGGGAAAGACACTTCACATGGAATTCCCATTTGGCCTAGTCCTTTCGGAGATGGACGTTAAACTCGGAGGCCCCGCCTCTTAAATATCTAATAGTGTTTATAGAGGCGTTAAACCCATATCATTTCACCAATTATTTTTGTTAGTTTCTGTACTCTGGATGAGTTATGCTTGTCGGCAAATGGATTCTATGACCTTTTTACATTTCAAAGTTTTAGTCTGCAATAAAAATTATGGACTGCACTTCCAACTCATAGTTACCTTTGTCCCCTTCATTAGGCAGGAGAAACTAGAGGTCGTTTGGCCATCACCATGGACAGCAAAGATAAAGTCATTCTTGTATGTTCTCTTCAGAGGCGTACTGCTTAGGTCTGCACTTGAGACGTTGAACACTTGAATGTCATCTTCTTCTATGAGGTATAGAGAAATAAATATAATTTTGAGGTATCGTGGTGACATGAGGTACTCGTCAAAATAATGAAATCGAAGAAAATGACAATTCCCACCTGTTGGGCAATTCTTATCAATTTTTTTGTTTTAGGCTTAACAGATTTTATAACCAAAAGAACATTACAGTTTTGAAAGCTAAACTATTTTGGAAACCGTTTTCTCGCTAATTTTACCTCTGATACAAAAACAAGGCTACCCCTACCCCATTCAGTCGCATATATATATATATATATATATATATATATATATATATATATATATATATATATATATATATATATATATATATATCTCGACTCATAATTAAGATGAACGAATATTTTGTCACCAAATGCAAGGCACATAAACAGGTTATACCAATGACTTAACTCCATATACCCAAAAAATGACGAGCGTCTGATTTCATCACGATGCCACACAATATGAATATGTACAATAATAAATTACGAGAACCAATGAACAGTGTGAGTAGGTGGGGTGGAGTGTAGGGACTGCATTGAACACTTTATTGAAGACCGGCGAATGTGGTGTAATGAGTAAGCGCTTTGCCGCAACACACAGAAGACGTGGGATCGATTCTCTTGTAGGGAAGTTTTTTCTTTCTTTCTTTGACCATCTCTCTATCTGTTGGGATGTTGGTTACCCCCCCCCCCCCCCCCCCCCGCCCTTGCTGGCCTTGACAGTCAATGTAGAAGCATCCTGCTTACTAAATGTTCTGAACTATGTTGATGGAGGCATGACATATTTACAATGAGATGTTTTAGACAGCGGCTGACCTGTCTTTCTCAAAATGACACAGGTCACTGCCAGCTGTCTCAGTGCGCAGCTCCTGCTTTTTAGTTTGACTCGTTACCATGGTTACCGCAGGCTTTACCAGAAAAATGTCTGGCTGAAATTATGTCAGCATCTAGGTTTAGATTTTAATAATTATCGCACTGCAAAGTCATAGTAACTTTCAGGCCACGCTGGAGTCAGGCGTTCATCAGTTTTGGGGCACATGCAGTTGTTGGTATCATCTTAAAGCCTGCTTTTATTGTCTTGCTTTCGACGAAAAAGCACGCATTTATCTTGAAAAGAAGCCAAGATGTTTGCCATTGAAGGAGGTGGGGGTCGTTTTTGGTACAGATCTAAAATAGGCGAGGAAATAGCCGCTTAATTTTGGTAACTTCCAAGATTTGAGAGTACTTGGAAACTGCAAAAATTACGTTTCTTGTGCCTTTGATCAACGCTTTTCAGTAACATCCAACCCTAGAATTAATAAATGTGTTTATAATGGAAATAATTCGATAAAAACTGCCAAACAGGCGAAAAAGTTCCTGTTTTTTTTTCTTTCGATTCCATCATTTTAACGAGCGCTTGGTTTAACCACGATGCCTCACTCCGGTGACAAAGAGAGCTGTCAGAACAGAAACGAACTAGGTTCTACTATTGTACATATTCTAATATCAATGTGTTTGTCTGTCTGAAAATTTGATTTTCTTCCGGTGTAGCATTGAATATAAATCAAAACAATTACCTAGGTGAGTGGATATCCAAGCTTTACGCAACACAATATAAACCATGTTAACGCTTTCGTAATGCTAGTGTCATTTGCGTTCGTATTTCTCCTTCTATTTCGAAAGTGTATCTTCTTTGAGAACTCATGATAATATGTGTTTTTCTGGCCCGTCGGCATGTATGAATGAATAGATAAAGAAAGAAAGAAAGAAAGAAAGAAAAACAAGTAAGTAAATGAGTAAATAATTAAAACAATAAATAAATAAATAAACAAATGATTTACATTTTATCGATCGCCGTGGGGGAAAACTTGGGTCACAAGTATATACATACTTACATAAATACTCAATTATAAACAGATACATAATTGTATAAACACATACATAAATACATACAAAATACACAATATCATACCAAAAGAGAACAACTTCACAAACGTGCCACTGCTGGTCTCCCCTGTTCAGCGCCCTGTTTTTTTGTGTGTGTGTGTTTTTCAGCTAGGCTTGTCGTGTTTAGCTCAAGGACACACCACTTGACCACCCACCTATACTTTTGCTATTACCCCCCCCCCCCCCCCCAATCCCCAAGCCACACACACACACACACACACACACACACACACACACACACACACACACACACACATACGCAACCATACACATGCACACCGCACTTGTTCAACATTTAATTACCTGATTCTTGAATCTTCATGCATTCGAAATGAACTGAGAAGAACAAATAAACAGTTGGATGTAGATCTAGTTCCTTCGAAGTTTTTACACCATAACGTGTGATAGCTACTTCATGCAGGTTGCATTGATGCTTCCCTTGACACAATCGTTTCACATATTCCTTGAGCGACGCTTTTCCCGGGTCAGTATCTCCGCACTTTTCATGTTGCTGAAAGTTGGAAGAAGAACAATATCCAGGAGGCTGATACTGAGATTGCGATCTATGTTGAAAAATAAATAATAGATAAATAAATAAATAAATAAATAAATTTACACATGAATAAACAAAGGACACCTAATTGGTTCCTGTGGAGAAATTTGTTGTTGTTCTAGCATACATACATACATAAATATATCATTAAACTCACAAATATGCAAAGGTTTGTGCTATCACTGTCTTCAGTGTAATAATGGGCAACGGTGAGGCATTTGAACGGGATGAAATAATCAATCCTAGGCAACCGTGAAGAATATTTTGCAACTACATGTACATGTATTACCTTCTTTCTCACCGTTTTTATACATTTGGTAAATTGGCTCATTTTATCAGCTGGTGGTTGGAGCGCGCCACTGGTACCTCCTACTTCTTTACTTTTCCTCTGTTGTTTCTGTTTGTTGTCTTACTTTTTCCCAGCACTGAATGGCAATTATTGTTTCAATGTGCTTCTCTTTACTCAAACATACAACTAAGCGAACAATTATTCTGTTATATTTTATTACGTAAAATACCGGGTGTCTAAAAAAATGGACCCATAACTCAACTATCTTTGAACAAATCTCAATAACATTTAACAGAAATGCAATTCATCCATGAGGACGTTACATTTGTCAATATGAAAAAAAAATAAAAATTTGTTTTTGTTTGAAAACTATCAAATTTTAAACATTTCAACCAAAATTAACTGAAACACAAAACTGTGCTACTCGTAAAAAATCAACCATATTATTGTTCTATTTCAAATAGTTGACGAGAGCCTGATTCCACCACGCTGCCTCACATTTTTTTAACTTGATATTTCTCGAACAGCTGCATAATTTTCTTCATATTTACGTACGTACGTTCATAGAAGAACACATTAATACAAAATTTATATTGTTAGATAAACTCAAGGAATGTGTTCTTTTTTAAAAATCACCTGGAATAGATCAATTCTTTTCATACAAGTTCATATACACCACTGGAGCTTTTGAATAACCCCGTGGCATGTTTCTGGATCGAATCTTTGGACGTACTGTTCAACATGAATATCAACTGTTCGATTGTTTGTGGGCTGTTTCCCTACACTCTGTCGGTCAAAACTTCAAAAGGTAAAGTTTGAAAGGGCTTAAGTTAGGGGGGGAATGAGGTGACCATTGATTTGTGAATTTGCGGTTGATGATAAGGCGTTCCCAAGCCGTTCTTGCAAAAATATCAGGGCCACTCTTGAAATGTGGGTTGTGGACCCATCCCACTGAAACCAGGCCAAGACAAGATAACACTTTTTCCTTCCCAAACTTCTTCAAAATGTTCTCAGCATGACCATTATTGTTTCGATATGCTTCCTTTACTCAAACAAACAAATAAGCAAACAAACTGAGGTGACTGTGGTGGCTTTATCATCTTTTCTCTGAAACCAGAACTGACCAATCACACCCCTGTAGCTGAACGCTTATAAAAAGTAAAATGTTGCGTTTTACCCAATTTTGGTAGACATTTGTGAGGCAGCGTGGTGGAATCAGGCTCTCGATATAATAATCAAAGTGAAGAAACTTGCATTTTTCCGCAGGTTTGCGAATTTTTATCCAATTTTTGTATTTTGGCTCAACATCTTTCATGCCCTTTAAAGAACTCATTTTTGTGTGGATTTTTCTGAAAAACGTTGATTAAAAGCACAAAAAATGTAAATTTTCAGTTACCACGGACTCTTAAGCAAAGGAAATAACTAATCTTTGGCAGCAATTTTTTCACTATTTTTACCTCTGAAAACAGGTGACCCCCTTCTCCTTCATTCGCTAATATCTCGATTTGTATTCAAGATAAATGGATATTTTTTCATCCACATAAAGACAAGTGAACAAGCTTTAAGATGATACCAATAACTCTACATGCCCAAAAATTGACGAGAGCCTGATTCCACCACGCTGCCTCACATTTTTTAAACTTGATATTTCTCGAACAGCTGCATAATTTTCTTCATATTTACGTACGTGACGTCCTCATAGTTGAATGTTATTTGTTCGAATTTTTTACCCTTTTAGTGGGTCCTTTTTTTTATAGACACCCTGTACTAACGCTTCCACCTTTCTTTACCAACAAAGTTGCAATTTTGCGTGCTGTCTTTAAAACCACATTATCAAACCATTTTGTCCAACAGAATACCCTTAAAATTGCAGGACTTGGGATGATACTATGTGACAATTTTTTAATACTAACTTTGATTGGAAAATAGAGAATGTTTTGGTTATTGAATTATTTGTTCATTTTTCGCAGGGGAGCTGCATCAGGAGATACGTTTACAGCAGATCTTGCATACAGTTGTAACACTACTGCTCACAATAATATTATTAACAAAAACGATTTAACAAATTAGAAAGGGAAATGTCAATAATGGTAAACGTGACAAACAAAAATATTGAAATTACTGAGTTGATTTGATTTTTTAAAAAATCTTGATTATAACGTTGCAACGAACAAAGACGACAATAGTTGCAACAATTTATTTTCTAATACCCCCCCCCCCCCCCACACACACACACATACTCACACCTAAACTGGTTAGAAAGAAGGTTTTAAAATCTATGTGAACGAGTACTCATAGGCGCTAGATCTAAATACTTACGGAGGTTAAATACTCGAACATCTTTATGCGGTGTTCACACATACAGAAGTAGAGTCGACAAAGCAATTCCCGATACGATAATGCCAAATTCGGGTTCAATCGTGACGAGCATCTGGCCATGACTGTTGTCATTATTGTGTCGGTGAGCACTCGGGGAGACACTCACCGAGCATTAATTTAGAACGACGAGCATATCGCCGAGCGTTTCGCCCAGCGTCTTGCCGAGCAATTAGTTTGAATCCTGGCCGCTTGCAGAGTCAATAAACGTAGCCGCCGAGTAAAATTTCACACGCCGACAAACTCGCCGACCATGCTGACTGTCTTGCCGACCCGTCGCCGAGTTAGCCGGCGTGCAATGTTATAATATAAAAAGAGGGGGGGGGGGGGGGGAAATGTTTGTGTTTATTCCTTCAACATGTCTCATGTGACACAGACGATGAATGTATACTTCATGCACACATAATAATGGTGCTGGAGGAGGAGGAGGACCTGTTGGGTTAGACCATGGCTCATAAGAACTTAGGACAGTTTGAGAAGCTGATGGGAGAACTGCAAGTTGAAGAAATGGTATCCTTCAGGAACCTCCTCAGAGCTTCTCCAGAGTTTTTCCAAGAACTACTGGAGAAAATTGCCCCCTCCATCCACAAGGCAAACACTTTCTGGAAGCAGTCACTGGAACATGACATCAAGCTGGTTGTCACTCTTCGGTACTGGCAACAGGAAACAGTTACATGCTCGTCGTGTCAACTTTTGCACACCGTGCTTGATTAACTTAGACTCCCCGTGCAAGATTTTTTACACAGCGAGCATTTATTATTAACCCGCAGAGTATAAAATTTAACTCGGCTCCCATTCAGATCTTGTGGACGTGTCACTCTCACTCGGCAACGTATGCATCTTTGCACGCCGAGCTATTTCTGACACTCCCCGAGTCCTCCCCGAGTCCTCCCCGAGTCCTCCCCGAGTCCTCCCCGAGTTTTCCCCGAGCGAGTTATTGACTCAGCGACTCATTTTTCGCTCGGCGAAAATTTTAAGTATGTTAGAAAATTTTGGCAAGTTTCACGTGTAAAAACTTCACACTTCAAGCAAGAAATATCACTCGAGGAGGGAGGCCGATTGCTCGGCGAAATGTATCCAGAGTAGCCCCGACCTGCTGAACTAGAAGTTTTGTCTTACTCGGCTTCGTTACTCCTGTATGTGTGAGCACCGCATTAGTGTGGATGGGATGAATGTCAACTTACAGAGAAGCGCACATCGTCCACGATAATCCATTGATGACTCTCACAGGCGATATTTAATTCTTCTTTTGCGGTGTTGAATTTGAAACATTTTGCTGAGTCTCTTGATTTATCAGTGTCCCCTAAATAAAGCATTAGAAAGAAAAGAAAACAAAATAATTAAGTAACGTATAGGTTCAGGTCATGTTCCTCGTGACGAAAATGAACATGTCATAACAGCCCTTTAATTTTGTTTTTGGAATTTTTTGTTACTCGTAGCAGGAAAAAAAGATTAGATTCATTATAATTTTTTACAGAAATGAAGCTAGGGTGATGAGTATAACTAGGAGCCG